AAAGTCGGAATTGTGCGATATAAAGTCAGAACTGTGCGATATAAAGTCAGAACTGTGTGATATAAAGTCAGAACTGTGCGAGATAAAGTCAGAACTGTGAGACGTAAAGTCAGAACTGTGCGATATAAAGTGAGAATTGGTGCGATATAAAGTCAGAACTGTGAGACGTAAAGTCGGAATTGGGCGATATAAAGTCAGAACTGTGCGATGTAAAGTCAGAACTGTGAGACGCAAAGTCAGAACTGTGCGATATAAAGACAGAACTGTGAGACGTAAAGTCGGAATTGGGCGATATAAAGTCAGAACTGTGCGATGTAAAGTCAGAACTGTGAGACGCAAAGTCAGAACTGTGCGATATAAAGACAGAACTGTGAGACGTAAAGTCGGAATTGGGCGATATAAAGTCAGAACTGTGCGATGTAAAGTCAGAACTGTGAGACGCAAAGTCAGAACTGTGCGATATAAAGACAGAACTGTGAGACGTAAAGTCGGAATTGGGCGATATAAAGTCAGAACTGTGCGATGTAAAGTCAGAACTGTGAGACGCAAAGTCAGAACTGTGCGATATAAAGACAGAACTGTGAGACGTAAAGTCGGAATTGGGCGATATAAAGTCAGAACTGTGCGATGTAAAGTCAGAACTGTGAGACGCAAAGTCAGAACTGTGCGATATAAAGACAGAACTGTGAGACGTAAAGTCGGAATTGGGCGATATAAAGTCAGAACTGTGCGATGTAAAGTCAGAACTGTGAGACGCAAAGTCAGAACTGTGCGATATAAAGACAGAACTGTGAGACGTAAAGTCGGAATTGGGCGATATAAAGTCAGAACTGTGCGATGTAAAGTCAGAACTGTGAGACGCAAAGTCAGAACTGTGCGATATAAAGACAGAACTGTGAGACGTAAAGTCGGAATTGGGCGATATAAAGTCAGAACTGTGCGATGTAAAGTCAGAACTGTGAGACGCAAAGTCAGAACTGTGCGATATAAAGACAGAACTGTGAGACGTAAAGTCGGAATTGGGCGATATAAAGTCAGAACTGTGCGATGTAAAGTCAGAACTGTGAGACGCAAAGTCAGAACTGTGCGATATAAAGACAGAACTGTGAGACGTAAAGTCGGAATTGGGCGATATAAAGTCAGAACTGTGCGATGTAAAGTCAGAACTGTGAGACGCAAAGTCAGAACTGTGCGATATAAAGACAGAACTGTGAGACGTAAAGTCGGAATTGGGCGATATAAAGTCAGAACTGTGCGATGTAAAGTCAGAACTGTGAGACGCAAAGTCAGAACTGTGCGATATAAAGACAGAACTGTGAGACGTAAAGTCGGAATTGGGCGATATAAAGTCAGAACTGTGCGATGTAAAGTCAGAACTGTGAGACGCAAAGTCAGAACTGTGCGATATAAAGACAGAACTGTGAGACGTAAAGTCGGAATTGGGCGATATAAAGTCAGAACTGTGCGATGTAAAGTCAGAACTGTGAGACGCAAAGTCAGAACTGTGCGATATAAAGACAGAACTGTGAGACGTAAAGTCGGAATTGGGCGATATAAAGTCAGAACTGTGCGATGTAAAGTCAGAACTGTGAGACGCAAAGTCAGAACTGTGCGATATAAAGACAGAACTGTGAGACGTAAAGTCGGAATTGGGCGATATAAAGTCAGAACTGTGCGATGTAAAGTCAGAACTGTGAGACGCAAAGTCAGAACTGTGCGATATAAAGACAGAACTGTGAGACGTAAAGTCGGAATTGGGCGATATAAAGTCAGAACTGTGCGATGTAAAGTCAGAACTGTGAGACGCAAAGTCAGAACTGTGCGATATAAAGACAGAACTGTGAGACGTAAAGTCGGAATTGGGCGATATAAAGTCAGAACTGTGCGATGTAAAGTCAGAACTGTGAGACGCAAAGTCAGAACTGTGCGATATAAAGACAGAACTGTGAGACGTAAAGTCGGAATTGGGCGATATAAAGTCAGAACTGTGCGATGTAAAGTCAGAACTGTGAGACGCAAAGTCAGAACTGTGCGATATAAAGACAGAACTGTGAGACGTAAAGTCGGAATTGGGCGATATAAAGTCAGAACTGTGCGATGTAAAGTCAGAACTGTGAGACGCAAAGTCAGAACTGTGCGATATAAAGACAGAACTGTGAGACGTAAAGTCGGAATTGGGCGATATAAAGTCAGAACTGTGCGATGTAAAGTCAGAACTGTGAGACGCAAAGTCAGAACTGTGCGATATAAAGACAGAACTGTGAGACGTAAAGTCGGAATTGGGCGATATAAAGTCAGAACTGTGCGATGTAAAGTCAGAACTGTGAGACGCAAAGTCAGAACTGTGCGATATAAAGACAGAACTGTGAGACGTAAAGTCGGAATTGGGCGATATAAAGTCAGAACTGTGCGATGTAAAGTCAGAACTGTGAGACGCAAAGTCAGAACTGTGCGATATAAAGACAGAACTGTGAGACGTAAAGTCGGAATTGGGCGATATAAAGTCAGAACTGTGCGATGTAAAGTCAGAACTGTGAGACGCAAAGTCAGAACTGTGCGATATAAAGACAGAACTGTGAGACGTAAAGTCGGAATTGGGCGATATAAAGTCAGAACTGTGCGATGTAAAGTCAGAACTGTGAGACGCAAAGTCAGAACTGTGCGATATAAAGACAGAACTGTGAGACGTAAAGTCGGAATTGGGCGATATAAAGTCAGAACTGTGCGATGTAAAGTCAGAACTGTGAGACGCAAAGTCAGAACTGTGCGATATAAAGACAGAACTGTGAGACGTAAAGTCGGAATTGGGCGATATAAAGTCAGAACTGTGCGATGTAAAGTCAGAACTGTGAGACGCAAAGTCAGAACTGTGCGATATAAAGACAGAACTGTGAGACGTAAAGTCGGAATTGGGCGATATAAAGTCAGAACTGTGCGATGTAAAGTCAGAACTGTGAGACGCAAAGTCAGAACTGTGCGATATAAAGACAGAACTGTGAGACGTAAAGTCGGAATTGGGCGATATAAAGTCAGAACTGTGCGATGTAAAGTCAGAACTGTGAGACGCAAAGTCAGAACTGTGCGATATAAAGACAGAACTGTGAGACGTAAAGTCGGAATTGGGCGATATAAAGTCAGAACTGTGCGATGTAAAGTCAGAACTGTGAGACGCAAAGTCAGAACTGTGCGATATAAAGACAGAACTGTGAGACGTAAAGTCGGAATTGGGCGATATAAAGTCAGAACTGTGCGATGTAAAGTCAGAACTGTGAGACGCAAAGTCAGAACTGTGCGATATAAAGACAGAACTGTGAGACGTAAAGTCGGAATTGGGCGATATAAAGTCAGAACTGTGCGATGTAAAGTCAGAACTGTGAGACGCAAAGTCAGAACTGTGCGATATAAAGACAGAACTGTGAGACGTAAAGTCGGAATTGGGCGATATAAAGTCAGAACTGTGCGATGTAAAGTCAGAACTGTGAGACGCAAAGTCAGAACTGTGCGATATAAAGACAGAACTGTGAGACGTAAAGTCGGAATTGGGCGATATAAAGTCAGAACTGTGCGATGTAAAGTCAGAACTGTGAGACGCAAAGTCAGAACTGTGCGATATAAAGACAGAACTGTGAGACGTAAAGTCGGAATTGGGCGATATAAAGTCAGAACTGTGCGATGTAAAGTCAGAACTGTGAGACGCAAAGTCAGAACTGTGCGATATAAAGACAGAACTGTGAGACGTAAAGTCGGAATTGGGCGATATAAAGTCAGAACTGTGCGATGTAAAGTCAGAACTGTGAGACGCAAAGTCAGAACTGTGCGATATAAAGACAGAACTGTGAGACGTAAAGTCGGAATTGGGCGATATAAAGTCAGAACTGTGCGATGTAAAGTCAGAACTGTGAGACGCAAAGTCAGAACTGTGCGATATAAAGACAGAACTGTGAGACGTAAAGTCAGAACTGTGCGATATAAAGTCAGAATTGTGAGATATAAAGTCAGAACTGTGAGACATTAAGTCAGAACTGAGACGTAAAGTCAGAATTGTGAGATATAATGTCAGAATTGTGAGATATATTCAGAACTTTTTTTTTCTATTCCATGTCAGAGCAAGCTTCCATGTAAACCAGCTCTCTCTCAGACTAAAACAAAAATTCTTATTCCCAGGAGTTATGTTTTTCATTCAGGGTAAATAATCTTGCCAGGTTGTTGTTGTTGTAAATAAGAATCTGAGTTGCTTGCCTGGCTAAATAAAGGTAAATAAATAATAAATCATGTATAAATCATGTATTTACTGAGTGACTGTAATTTAATGCTCAGAAAAATCAGATAATTCATGCTAAAACTGCACTCTTCCTCAGGACTGAGGTGGTTTTCCATTCACTAAGCGTCTCTAAGTCACATTTGGCAGAGGTCAGATCTTCAGCAGTTGTCCTCAAGCCAAGTTTTGCTGAGGTGTGAACAAACAGCAAGCCTTTCTAAAAGCACTGCATAAATGAGTGCATTGATTTAACACAGAAAAACTCTTCTGAGACCCATTATTGTTTGTGTATTCATGCGGCTGAACGGATTCAAATGCATTATATGCGTAAATTGCAGCAGGATTTGAGGGAAAACACACCCTTGACTAGCAAACAGAAGACTGGAATGTGCCTGTCCGTGTGGGACGGTCTCTGATGACCAGCAACAGTCCTTCATTCTAAACTAGGAAACTTTTAACCCTTCCTTAACCTCCCCCGACTGCAGCGCTTCACACTTTACTGGACAAATGCAGTCAATTTATCTGAAAGGCAGAAAGCCTTAATCAAATGAAATCTGGCTTTATTATGAACTCTTTCCAGTGAAAACTAGTTTTTAAATGTGTTGGATCTTTCTACCAAAGTGTGTTAACTCGGTTAGTTTCAGGGGTTTCATGTGAAAACTCCCAACAAATTCAGACCCCCTTTTAGCTTGGTTAAAATGTGAAAACAGGGTTAGACTTTTTTTTAATTATTTGGGATTAAAATATAAAGGAAAGTGTATATTTACATCTTTTGCACTGTAAAAAGTGTTAACCTGCAACTACGTTTAACCCATAACATATAGGTTTCTTGGTAAAATGTATGTAGGTTGATTCTAAGACATTACATTATTTTTAGTTTCCATTTTTTAGGTTACCATTTTGTCTTTTAGTGTAACTAGCACCCTTTAGTAAAGTTTTCCACCATCATATAAGTAAAAATGTGAAACGCCGACGCTGTTAAAGTGAACTTTTGGTGCTTTAAGTTTGGTTTAGATTGAAAGAGTGTTCAAGTGTGTTATTAAATCAATATTTTAGATTAAAATGTAAGGAAAAGTCTATGTTTTAGGTCTTGCCCTATTGTTAACTATTTCTATTGTATTTAATCCATAAAACTTAGTTTTGTAGTTTGGCAAAAACATTTTTAAAAGTACAAACCTGAGTTCATAAACTTTACATGAATAACAACAATACAAGAACAGCTAAAGCTGAAGTGCATGTCCGCTTTCCAAAAGTATCTCATGCCAACATCCCATATTAAATGACTGGATCAGAGGCATCAAACTGCATAAGGCTCACAGTGTGTTTATTTAGTGAAGTCATCAGTCACTGTGGCTCTTCATGCACGTACTCAATGAAAACGCATCTATAGAGTCAGTATTTCACAATTCTGTTTCGATTCGAGATGCAAGTAACTTAATCGTCCAATCAAACCACAAACAAATGCGCAGACGTGAGATTCGCCACTGCATGTCCTGAGTCGAAGACAAAAGGTGATGTGAGAAATGCACCTCCTCCACCACCGCAGACAATAGCGGAGACTCATTGACCAGCGCTGCTGCTTGTTACCAGGCGAACTTGGGACGCGAAAGACGTGACATAAACGCCGATTGGCTGGAAACTCGAAGGAGGCGTGGCCAGCGCCAGCGGCTATATAAGCAGGCGCTGAACTGGTTGCGTCAGTGTTTTGCAGAACTCTCTGCGGATACTAACTAACAGCTGCTGCACTTATTCCGCTTCTCACACGGCTTTGTTGGTTTCTGGTCTTTGTTACGGACTATTTCATCTGCGGGAAAATCACATCTGAAGATCTACCGTGCAAAATATCGGTAAGTGTCTTATTTTATGATTTTTTTTTTTGGCTGTTTTTATTTTCTTCATTGTTGTTCATTCAAACCTTGAAGTACAATGCAAGACAAAAGTATGCTGCATTTTTGATCAAATATTCCTGACATCAGCACTGCAAAATCAGTCCGATAACTGGATGCATGTATCTTTTTGAGTCAAAATGACAGAATGCTTTGTTCTTTGTTTGTTTGATTACTCCGCAGAAATGATTTACTTGTTTTGCATAACAAATATCTAAACACCTTTACATCACGATGCATTAACATGACGCAAAATTACTTTAGATATTGCTTTCAGGAAGAAAAAAAAATCAACATTTAGTGACGTTATCCTTAAAACTATGCAAATCTGTGTATGGGGTCAGAAAAAACAACTTAATTCAATGGGAAAGCAATTTTGTCTGACCCTGATCGCAGATTTGTCTTTGTTTTAAGCATGCAGACACGTTTTTCTATACAAAAGCATAATACATTTTTCAGAATGCATTCAAAGCTTTATATCGTAAGTCATTTTGCTAGTAAATGCATCTTGATCTTGAAATGTTGCAGTGCATCAGCTGCGTTTGTGTCTCGTGCATGAATAATAAAAACAGATCTTCTCTTTTACAGTCACTTTAAAACCGAACAATGCAGGAGCAGCTGATTTCCAGCCTTTCATCTGAAGACTCAGGTCTCCCATCCACACCGACATCTGATGCTCCATCCAAACGCTTGTCCTGGAGCAACCTGATGCAGAAACTGCACAGCAGCCAAAGCCTGGACTCTGATGCAGACAATCACAGCAGCACAGACGATGCATCAGATGCAGGTAAACAAGCATGAGTCACCATGCATAGGTTGATGATGCACCTTAATCATCCAAGATCTTGAGTCTAATGCATGCTTGCATTCGTCTCCCGCAGGTTCCATATCCCTAGCCGATCTGTCCGAATCCGACTTGTTTTTCGACCCCACCGAAGAGGCGTTGTGCAAAGAAGTGGTGCAGCTCATCGCACTTAACCTGACCGATGCCAAAGACGGCGTCTTGCACTGCTCCAAACTCCTCATTCCCGAGACGCTCCTGGAGCACATCGGCCAGGAGCTGGTGCACCTGTCGGTCAGCGAGCCCTGTGGCCTCCGCGGTGCCCTCGTTGACCTTTGCGTGGAGCAGGATGGCAGCTGTGAAGCCGTGGGACAGATCTCCGTCGACCCGTACCTAGTGCCCACCTTCCAGCTCACGCTCGTGCTGAGGCTCGACTCCAGGGGCTTTTGGCCGAAACTCCAGGGGCTTTTCGCCGGCAGATCGCCTTCGTCTCCGGTTGTTAGACATGCACTTAAACTGAGCACTGGATTTAGAGTTATTAAAAGAAAACTGTACAGCTCTGAAGAGCTTTTGAT